GTATGCCCCCATCATGTCATCCTTGGTTGCGTACTCACCATTTACCTGCCGAACAATCAGCTGCGAGTCACTATACACTGTCAAACTTTTGATCTGTAGCTCTTTGGCCAACTTTAATCCATTTAGCAACGCCTCGTATTCCGCTTCATTATTGGTGGCTCGGAACTCAAGTCTGAGTGCTTGGCTCAAGGAAGTACCTTCTGGGGTTTGCAGTTTGATCCCAATCCCAGCCCCCGTCGGGTTAGAGGAGCCATCCACAAAAAGTTTCCAAGAGCCGCTTCTAAGGTCCTCTTCCGTATCTTCGGCATCACATTCTAGTAGGAAATCGGCCACCGCTTGCCCTTTAATAGCTGTTCTCGGCTCGTACGTTATGTCAAATGAACTCAACTCTATGGCCCACTTTGTCATTCTGCCCGAGAGCTCTGGCTTGTGCATGAGCGTTCTGATTGGGAAAGTTGTTAGAACAGCTATGGGGTGGGATTCAAAATAATGCCTTAACTTTCTTTTTGCATTTACAAGTGCAAGTACCACCCGTTCGGCTTTTGAGTATCTTTTTTCTGCCTCCATCAGTGTCTTGCTTACATAAAATACTGGGTATTGCACCCCTTCCTTGCAACGAATCAGAACGGCACTCGTCGCGACACCAGATACTCCAAGATATAGAAATAACTTTTCTTCCGGTTCTGGGGCTGACAGGACTGGCGGATTCTGCATATATTGCTTCAAATGAGTCAATGCCTGTCGTTGCTCATCCCCCCAGACCTGCCTTCCATGGCTCCGAATCGTGTCAAAGAATGGTTTGCAGTGGTCTGACAACTTTGAAATAAATCGACTTAATGCAGCTATTCGTCCTGTTAGGGCTTGCACCTCTCTGATCGTCTTTGGCTCGGCATTCTTAATCAAAGCCTCTGCTTGAGCGGGGCTAACTTCGATGCCCCTGCGGTTGACCACGTGTCCCAGAAACTGCCCGGAACTCACACCGAACGAGCACTTGGTCGGATTGAGCCTCATCCCATATCGCTTTAGTACATCAAATACCTCTTGCAGATGCTTCAGATGATCATCCTTTTTCCTACTTTTCACCACCATGTCATCAATATAGGCTTCGACAATCTTACCCATTTGATTCTTAAAAACTTTGCTGACAAGTCGTTGATAAGTTGCTCCCGCATTCTTTAATCCAAAAGGCATAACCTTGTAGCAGTACGTTCCTCGCTCGGTGACAAAAGAAGTTTTTTCTTCATCTGCGGGGTCCATAGGAATCTGATTATAACCTGAATATGCGTCCAGAAAGGTTAAACGCTCATACCCCGTGGTGGCATCCACCATTTGATCAATCTTAGGCAACGGGAAACTGTCCTTCGGGCAGGCTTTGTTTAAATTGGTGAAATCAATGCATACGCGCCATTTCCCATTTTTCTTCTGCACCACAACGACGTTGGACAACCACTCAGGGTAGTGCACCTCTCTGATAAATCCCGCATCAAGCAGCCTATCAACTTCTTCCGTTATGATCTGATTACGTTCTGGAGCAAATCTTCGCTGCTTCTGTTTCACTGGTTTGAAATTAGGATTGACATTCAGGGAATGACAGGAGACGGAAGGACTAATTCCAGGCATGTCGAGATGACTCCATGCAAATACGTCGACATTGTGGGATAAGAAATCCACTAGCTCTTGCTGCTCTTCTCTGGTCAGTCTTATACCCACTCTGGTAGTTCGTTCTGGCCTGGACTGATCGATCTGCACATCCAGAAGGGGCTCCTCGGTCAAGTCGGCTGACTCCTCCACCCTATTCTGCTCGAGTGGAGGTTCCTGTAATTGCTATCTGGGGCTTGTCGACCGGACGGGCGCCTTTCCCTTCCCTGCATGCTTTAGTGTGACGGAATAACACTCTTTGGCTGCGACCTGATCCCCCCGAATGTCTATCACTTTATCTCCATCGGGCCCGAGGCACCTCATGACCTGATGCAGAGTTGAGGGTACACCTCGGACTCTGTGAATCCATCCTCTTCCCATCAGGAGATTATACGAGGGGTGAATTTCCACAACCACAAAAGTTTCCATAAGAGCTCGCTCTGCAGCTTGAACTTCTACTTCCACCATCCCGACGGGTTCCACCCTCTTCCCATCGAACCCTAATAAGGGATTTCCGGTGGGCTTGAGCCTCTCTGGTTTAATGTCGAGCCTGTCAAATGTGTCCCTTGGCATAACATTCGCACTGCTCCCAGGATCGATCAGAACTCTGCGCACCAAGCATTCTGCCACTGTCAAACTGACTACCAACGGGTCGTCATGAGGCAGTTGGACACGCTGCAGGTCTGTCCAGTCGAACTTTATCTGCATTGACGGGCTCTGTTGGTGTAGAGTGGTCACATTGCCGACCCTTTTCTTCATCTGTGCCTGCCGCAGGCGCACCCGTAGCAGCTCATCTGGCTCTTCACTAGGCTCGGGTCGACCATGGATAGCATTGATTATACGAACTGGTTGCGAATTGTGGGAGCTTTGTTTATGACTCCTTTTTATTTGTTCCACTGGTCGATTCTGCTCCATCGCCGAGCCTTGAACATAACTCGCAAACTCCCCTCTAGCTATCAACATCTCCACTTGCCTCCTCAGGTTCCTGCATTCGTTAGTCTGATGTCCGAAATCAGAATGAAAAGCACAATGTTTAGTTTGATCCCTCTGTTCGAGGGGTTGTCTAATTGGCAGTGGTGGATGAAACTTGTCCTTGTTCTCCTGATATAACCTCGCCAGAGTGACCTTCAGCGGAGTAATCAACTCTTCCTCCCTGGACCTTTTTTCGGCCTTCCAAGTGGTCTGACGTTGCGGCTGAGCCTGCTTCTGCCTGATCTTTGCCTTGGACTTTTCCTCGGTCGACACAAGCGACGTTGTCCGAGCATTAGCTGCCTCCTCTTCTTCGAGGCGCACAAAGCCATCGGCTCTCTCATTGAGTTCGTCCATGGTAGCTGGCGTATTCACTACCAGACTGGTGTGAAACGGAGTTCCGCGTGTCATGGCTAACTTGAAGGCTTGAACTGCCGTAGTAGGATGGCATTCGATTACCATACTCTTAGTGAGATTAAACCTGGTAAGAAAGGCCTGGAGCCGTTCATCCTTGTGTTGCCGCATCGTGAACAGGCTCGAGATGTCCTTCGGCGGGCGTTTGTTCCCATAGTACTGGCTTATGAACCGATCGCACAGGTCCCTGAAACTGCCAATGGAGCTCCTAGGCAAGTTTTTGAACCAGCTGAGCGCCGGTCCGGCCAAACTTGTAGGGAAGCATTTGCACATTAAAGAGTCGTTTTCCGTGTTCAGGGCCATTTTCAACTGGATATGATACACATGATCGATCGGATCGGTTGTTCCGTCAAACAGAATAAAGACTGGCATAGCAAACTTCCTTGGATGCGGCGCATTCAAGATCTCGTCGGTGAATGGTGAATCCACCGTCCGAGCTGCGGATCGGAGAGCTTCATTCTCTCTCTGGAGTCCGGCGGTAGCTCTGTGAGTTACGGTTCTGCCCTCCGAACCGTGATGAGTGACAGTAACCATGGAGGGCCGGTAAGACGGATCGAACGACCGTTCCTCTATGAACTCTCTCTGCCAAGGCGACGCTACTCGACGGCGATCTACCTCCATCACTTCCTCTCGGTCAAACCTTTCCCGCTGCGGATCAACGTGAGTCGAGCCTTCGTGATCTTCAACTCGACGAACATTTGGCGGCGAATTGTCCATCATCCTTTCATCACGGTGGTGAGCTGACTGATTGTTCTCGTTCTGATCGCCTTGATGCGCGATACTAGATGGAACACCTCCTTCTCCGACCGGAAGCGGATGCGAGACTGCGGGTATTTGCCGATGCTGCAATCCAGCTTTCAATTCTGCATTTTCTTTTCTGAGAGCTTCAATCAAATTCATCAACTCTTCAAGCTTTGTTTGCTGGACAGCCTCCATCGGATTGGAGCTTTCACCTATCATTATTCCCGAACGGAGTAAAGGCATTAATCTCAAGCTCGCGAGTAGATCTAAGCTTCGTGAGTAGGAATTTTTAGATCTGGCTTCTAATTCTCCGAATTATGCTCACTGTTTACAAGATCTGAATTGCCTGGACTCTAAATCCGTCAGATCCTGTCACAATCGAGCAACTCGCGGTTGCGTAGATCTGAAGTCACTCCTGCCAAAGCTTCAAGAATCGTAATTCCTCCAGAGTAGGTCACAATCGCTCAGATCTGGATTCAAATCCGCAAGATCGAGTCTCGATCAACCGAATTGGTTTGAATCCATTCGATCCTCCTCATTGATCAACCAAACTTTTATGCGTTTCCCACAGACGGCGCCAATTGAAGATGCAAGAAACTCCTTCTATTCTTTCTCTCTCTAGAATTCTTACACCTCAACCCGAATCAAGATCCCCCTCCTCTTCATTCCAACTCCTATTTATAGATATTTACAAGATATTTACAAGATATTTACTAATTGCTGGACCTGGGCCTATTCCTCAGTAAGCCCTGGTCACTCTTGATGGGCTTACTCCCGCTCGGCCCATATGGCAGTGTCTTTTTATGGGCTGACCCAGCTGTTCGGACTGAAGGTTGTGTTTTGCGAGTCGGACCTGGCCCATGTCATCCAGGGCCTCCTCAAGCATATAAAAAAGTCATCTTAAAAATTATGGTAAAAAGTTTCAATGCACTCAAAAGAGAAAGGGACTTTTAGTTTGCTATCCTAATAAATTATATTAGAGTTCGAACATATTGATTGCTCATGAGTTGCACTAAACAATGGAATTTGTTGAGCTTAGCCTCCAGTAAAGATAGACTAACCACCTCCAAAATTCTGAAGACATCACACAATATGATAAATATTTAGCATATTTTACATGTTAACTCTTTATACTATTTTATTCTTCATATTCTTGTTAGTTCTTTGTACGAAGCTTTTAGACAAACTTGCCCTTAAAAGAATTACAATAATAAAAGTACTTTCTCTGTCTGTATCAGATGGAACCGGCCAAGTCAATCAAGCGGGAGTTGATCATTACAACAGTTTCATCAATGCTTTACTCGCCAATGGTACCCTTAGACAGTAATTTAATCCTTCCTTCATTATTTTGTAAATAGGTGACAGTTATTTGTATGAAAATGGATGTATAAATGCTCTCTGCCATACTTAGCATCTGTTGATAGCTTAAGATTCTTCAGATACTTGTTAACAAGTATCGTTATCGAACGGAAAATGATATGCAGTCTGACAGTCGGACTAATCTGACTATTTTTATGTAAGTGGAGGCTGACTCATGATTACATCAAAACAAAACAGTCGGAGTTGTCTGATTGTCGGACTCCGTATCATGACTCTTATCATATCTTTGTATCATGCTGATTCTCATAACCATCAGATTGGCAGTGAATAATTTGATTTCCCGGCCAATGGTACTGAAAGATGCATGATTTGTGATTGCATTCATTATCACTTATGCAGGAATTGAACCATATGTCACCCTCTATCATTGGGACCTTCCTCAAGCCTTGGAAAACAGATATGGAGGATGGCTCAACCCCCAAATCATGTAAATGAATCATTTCAAACTATGCTTTTTAATGTTTTTGTAAAAATGTTCATTTTAGCGGAAGTGGAATATGACATTAGTCATTTACAGAAAGGATTTCGCTGCATATGCGGAAACATGCTTTGAGAAATTCGGTGACAGGGTGAAGCATTGGATAACGTTCAATGAGCCCCATACATTTGCCATACAAGGCTACGACGTGGGTCTCCAGGCACCGGGACGTTGTTCCATCCTTCTTCACCTCTTCTGCAGAGCTGGGAACTCTGCAACTGAACCTTACATAGTTGCCCACAACACCCTTCTTTCTCATGCAACCGCGACGGATATATACAGGAAAAAATATAAGGTAAAAAATATAGGATTTTGTTATGTTCTTCTATTAGCATGGAACATTCTTTGTTTTTACTTCTATTAATATTTGGTTGCTAAGCAAGATGACAAAAAAGGCCATTACTCAGTCATGATTCTGGTATGTGTAGTGAGGGAGGGATGGACTTGAGCTAGAATATACCTTCGGCATTATTTTATAAGAATTGGCTGCTCTTAACCTGTATTCTGATGCTAGTTAGTCCAAAATTTTACCATTTACTAAGCACTCCTTATGCAATACAAGAACAAGGTAAAAAAGAAGAAGAGAGCGCCTATATAATACGATTACCTCCTTCTTGACATAAAGAAATAGAGGCATTGAGAATTGAACCTGAAATATTCATCCTTTTATTTAGAAATTCAGGATTTTTCATAAGCATATTTCTTGCATGAGTCGCTATATATTGCTTGTTATTTATCATGACTTATTTTTCTGCACAGCCAAAACAACATGGATCGATTATGGTGTCATTTGATGTCATATGGTATGAACCTGCGACAAACTCAACTGAGGACATTGAAGCAACACAAAGAGCACAAGATTTTCAGCTAGGCTGGTAATTTTTTTTATTACTGTTCCATATGTAATTCCATGTGTAGCTAAGGAGTAGAACAGAAATTCTTTTAGCTGACAGAGTAGTATCAGCACTCAGTGCACACTGTCAGTGTGGAACCGGGGTTATACACCGTGTGTGTGGATGCCCTCGCATGTTTATATATATTTATGCAGTGCCTCTCGTGCTACCAAAATGACCCTCTTAACTAAAAGAGAAGAACCCTATTTTCCCTTCACTAACAACCAATAAAAGGAAGTGTCTCCAAGAAACCTCAATTTTTTTTGCTAAATTTAGAATCCAATTTCTTTATGTCACAAACAGAAAATGTCAGATACTTCTGCTCCATGCCCCTCATTTAGGAACTATTAATTCACTTTCATAGTGCTTATGACCTTTTAGTAAGTCTAAACTTACGTGGTATCCAAGGGAGGAACTGGTAATGGGCTAACCTGGGTTATAGCCCAGGTCTAATTGAAAAAAAAAAAATTAGTACTATTGTTCTTATAAGTCCATGTACTACTCTTCCTCTTCCTATTAGCCCAGCCCAATCCATAATATTTCTATAAATAAAAAGAGTTATAAAATTTACAAAGGTCAAGCCTTAAATATGAGCAAGTCCACAAGCCATAGACATACCCAATCACAAAATAAACCATAATAAATTATATTATAGGGCCTAGCCTAATAAATCAAACACATTGTCAGTCTATGAAAGAAGACCTAAACTCTTCGTATTTAACGCACTAAGGCATAGGTGGATGGATATCATGGATTATTATTGTTAATCCAGTGAAATATTGAATTTTATTTTTGTAAAAAAATAAAAATAAAAAAAAAAAAATTAAAAAAGGGCTTTATTGATGACTTGATAATTTCTTGTTAAATTGAGTAATTTACTATATAATGGATTAATAACTAGTCAGAGGCGAAGCATATAGGTTTTAATTTCTAATGTGAATTTATTAATAAGGAACATATAAATTTTGCATTCTTGAAGTTGTTTGTTTTAATACTTGTATTCAGCAAACTTCAATGAATTCTTGACTATAAAAATACGTTAGAGTTTGGAAGTGTAAATGTGTTAGAAAGTTGTATATTATTGGATTTAATTGAATAACTGATGCATGTAAATTATGTATTTAGAGCATGGATGACACAGTGAGCAATCAGGAGTTTAATTATTTTTAGCTCTCCCTACTTTGCAATCCTGGCTCCGCCCCCGCTTGTATCCAAAAGAAGTCTCAAGTTGAGGTTCACCGTGGAAATAGCGGTGTTCTAGGTGTACTTTTTCTATTTCTGCTGAATGTTGAAAGGTAGTGCATAATTACAGGTTTATTGAGCCTTTGATCTTTGGAGACTATCCAAGCTCGATGAAAAGTAGAGTAGGAAGCCGGTTGCCAAAGTTTTCCAAAGCTGAGTCAGCTCTTCTTAAGGGGTCATTGGATTTTGTGGGCATAAATCACTACACCACATTTTATGGCGTGAACAATAAATCTAATTTAATTGGTGATCTACTCAACGACTCCCTTGCAGATGTTGGTGCTATTACCCTCCGTATGTCATCAGCAACCCCTCTCTTTAATGATCTAGTATCATATTTTCCACTTCTATTTTTTCGGTAATTCCATTTGGTCTTCTTCTGTATGTTAGCAAATACAGGTTAACCTAATGCTTTTGTTGCTTTCAGCTTTCAAAGATGGAAAACCTATAGGAGACCGGGTACGTAATTGAAGAAATTGGAAATTTTGTTGTATAACTATTGTTTAATGCCTAGCTACCGCTCCTTGATGGATGACTCTATGTATTTTCTGCACAAATTTGAATTCAATACGCGCTATATTGTTTTAGGCATACACTTTGCCCGGGCCAAGCACATTTTTGTCACCAGTCACAATTCAATTTCCAAAAAGCATGAAACTTCATTCTTGCAATAACCATGCAAGCCTTTTCATTATTACTTAATTAAATCATCTAGATCATATATATTTATTTTGAATTGCAGGCAAATTCCATATGGTTGTACATCGTACCTGATGGGATCAGAAGCTTAATGAATTACATCAAGCAAAAGTACGGGAATCCACCGGTCATTATCACTGAAAATGGTAACCTTTTAAAAGCTAAAGTGATATTCTTTTGCATTTTCAATTGATGACTTCAAGTTTTTGGTCAAATTCGTAGTATTTTCTTTATCTTACTAAACTGGTTTAAATACATTGTTGAATTTCATACAATGACTAGTGCTATTTTAATATTACTTTCGATTTGCTGAAAAATGCTATGCCATTTTATTCAACAAAACTGTGAATTTCAGGCTCTTCTCCAAACTCTGGTTTGAGCTATATTTTTCACTATTTTTTGTTAAAACATTTTAAACCCCACTCTTTCCTTTTGACGCATAAAAATCACAAGCTAATTTTCCATTGTTTTTACAGGGATGGATGATCCTAATGACCCATTTACGCCTATCAAAGACGCTCTAAAGGATGAAAAAAGGATCAAATACCACAATGACTATCTCGCGAGCTTGCTAGCTTCCATCAAGTAAGTATTACATTACTTGTTTATGTAAATATGCATAAATTTGTGTGTATATATGTATATGAACATATGAACCATGTCACTGAAACAAAAATAGTATTGTGTAAGAGCACGTCGTGTACAGTTGAAAGATCGAGCTAATATGCTTTGTTTTGCTTAAAATGCAGAGAAGATGGATGCAACGTACAAGGTTATTTTGTATGGTCTCTATTGGATAACTGGGAGTGGGCAGCTGGATTTTCTTCCCGGTTTGGCCTCTATTTTGTTGATTACAAGGACAAGCTCAAGAGATACCCCAAGGATTCGGTTAAATGGTTCAAGAGCTTCTTGACTTCTACTTGAAAAATCGGATGACTGAAGCTGATATATGCCACTGTACAATACACAGAAAATACGCACACACACACACACAAATGTTGATATGTATAAGGGGCCTTTTGGTGCATGTTCTTTAGATTGAAACATTTCATTGTGACAGAACTGTGTTTACTTACATATGTTATTGATTCATAAATCTCTTAGTATAGTAAAATTGCATGGTATTATCTGGTTGTTCAGATCATTGAGACATCACATGATTCACATGAACATGTAACATCAACCACTCTTTTATGATTAAGACAGTAAGCTAGATATATACATGTACGATGTATGTATGTATATGTATATGTTTATTGGTTAACATCAACCACTCTTTTACTGATATATCTTCAAAATTGCTTTCCCTCATAAACATGACCAAATTTCCAGTCAGCTGGTGCAACATTATCAGATTGCAGCATCCTACCATCACTAGTAGTCACTTGAAATGACAAATTCTGTCCCACTAGATGAGCATCAATTTTCCAATTCTGCCCCCAGTCCCGCGACATCCCTAGCCATTTCGCGCCAGAACCCTTGATCCTGACTCCCTCAACGTCACCGGCTCCTCCCACATTGTACACTAAAATGAGCATCGAATAGGGATTTCCCTTGATTTCAAATTCAATGCCTCCATTTTTTATGCAGGGGGTCCTCCTGTATACAATGGGGACAACACCGGCCTCATACACAGCAATTTTTCGGAACATTGGCTGTGACAAGTCAAAGTGCTTGGAGGGTGGGTTGCACCAGTTTTCACTGGGATTTATATAGTTGGAAGGGCAAATGTTGGTGGCAGTGACTTTGATAGTGTCATTTAGGCACCATTTTGAATTGTCACACTGGATTTCGTAACAAGCTCCACAAGTAAGCCCCTTGTGGAAGAGAACTGTGCTCAATGCCGTCGTTTCAAGGCCATACCCACGCTCAAATAGATCTCCATAGCCACAAGCTCCCTCTGTCGAACACACATGGTGAGAAAGAAAGGTTAAAGACTGGATTAGAACACTTTTTAGGTCTTTATATATATAACATCAAAAATTAGTTTTGTCTGTTGTTTTTCCTCCCAATGCTTAGATGGGACTTGCATGATTAATGTATTGATTTTACTTTTTATAAATAAAAAAAAAAAAAAAAAAAATTACATCTCTTAAAAAGAAAAAAATAATAATTTAGTGATTTACGCATGGTCTCGTTGCCTTTCACGTCACCATAAAATGTTGCATGTGCACCATTCCACCCATCTTTGGTCGCAACTGCATCAACTAGGAAAAATGCCATGACCATGACCATGACCAAAATGACACACTCTTTTGCAGCCATAGTAGCTGTCTGTGTGTGTTTTTGTGTGTGTCTGTGTGTGTCAGACAAGTTAGTGTGTGTGTTGGAGCAAAACCAGAGCTAATTATATTTATAGAAGGCATGTAGTGTTGAAACAAAGTATATTTTATGACTGAAATTATGTTAAGAAAGATGTTCCAGATTAAATTTTTGCATTGGCCTCACACAAAGAATCTTAGCAAAGTAGGCGAATTTTTTTAGGTGAAACAAGTCCTTGTGGCAAACCTAATTTCGTCTGCATTTAAATCAAATGGACAAAGATTTGGATATTACTTTAAGAATATTGATTCATGTCTTTATCAAAACTTCATTTTCTGCTTTCAAGAATGTAAATGGGCCTAACTAGGGTTACCCACCGAACATATACGGTCGGTCTTTCCATTCAAGGGATGGCAACGGGATCGGTATGGAGCGGATTTGCCTAAATCCATACTCGCGATAGGTTTTAATTTCACAATCCATACTAGCCCCGTTAAGAGATGAATGTGTTCGTGCCTGTCCGGCTCCGTTTATGTTTTTTTTTTTTTTTTTTATATAAATATTTTTATTTATATAAATAAATTGATAAAATCTATAAATTTTATATAATGTAAATAATGATATATATATATACATATACATATGAACACAGTAATATGCATACATCTATAACACTTATATACATTTATATTTATAATTTTTTTAAAAAATATAAAATATAAAGTGCGGAGCGGGACAGGATGACTGTTTCTCAAAACCCGAACCCACCTCATATTCTCTGACGAGTTTAAAACTTAAATCCATTTATGTTATTACGATACATAAACGATTTTTATATTCGTACAATTAGGGGCGGGACAGAGCGTAACTCCGACAATAAGAAACAAATTGTCATCCCTAATTCACATGTGTGCACTCTTTAACACCCGTGCAATCTTTCTATTTACATGTATTGACCGAAAAGTTCTTTAGGAGATCCAAGAGGGTTCGAAGTTCTCAACCTTCAATACATGAGGTGATAAGCTTTGTCGGCAGAGAGTGAACAAGAATTTGATTCTAACCCACTAAATTCTACACATATATAAAAAAGTATAAAGTTAAATCCGTTTTTCTTTCTAATTGTGTGCAGACAAGACAAGAGATAGTTAAAATAATATATAATGCAATATCTCCACAAATTTAACAACTAAAATTTTCGAAGTGAATAAAAATGACATAAATCTTTTATCCATTGGGCAAAGAGGTGGACCCCACTTACAATTAGAGGCAAAGATCTTACAAATGATTTCTCCAATTCCCTCTTCAGTCTTCTCTGTCACCTAGGTGCTTGCAGTGTCCTTCACATTTGGCTTATTATATAGTCTTCAATTTTTTATTTCATTATTATATATCAATATATATATATATATATATTTATGTGAAAGAATAAGTTTACATGATCTAACAACCATTAGCCTCTGAGCTGTATCTTCTAAATGTGGTTATGTAGTTGCCATTTGTTATTCATTCATGCTTCCAACTCACTCAAAGACTCTGTTCTCTTGACCAACTTAATAATAATATATTTGCTGACTACTTAAATGTTTTGTCCTATCGTGTTTACAAATATGGTAATTGGTAATTTTGTCTCCTACTGTAGTTCAATTTTTTTTTTTTTTTAATTCATGGTGCAAATATAGTAATTGGTAAATAGTGACTTACATGGTGGTTATAATTCCAAATATTTATTGAAAAGTTGCAAATATATTTCCTATTAATAAAACTAATAATTAGAGATGGCAATTTGATTCACCCTCACGGTAACCCGCCCTGCCCCACCCCATTTTTAGAAATTTTTGAGGACCGTTCTGCTTATATGGGCGAGGATAGTTTCATGTAATAAAAACCCTCGCGGGTTTGATGCGGGGGTGGGGGGAGGTAATCCCGCACCGCCCCGCCCCGTTTAGATAGACCAATTACTTAAGTATCCTTATTTCAATAGTATATATATTTACCACTGCATATTAAGTATCTTATATAACAATACTAAAGTAACAAATGAATTTAATTAAAAAGAAAGTTGCAATGGTGAATAATTGAAGATAAGGGGAAAAAAAAAGGAGCAAATCTATTTTAATAATAAATAAATTATGATCTTAAACGGGGTGGGGCGGGTACCTACTGGGGTAAAAATGTTAAACGGTTATGGGAATGGGGTAGAAAGTTCTCCCGTTTTTGCGGTTTTGGACAGGAACGGGGGTGGGGGAGGGTACACCCGCCCAAACCCGCCCCCGTTGCTATCCCTATTGATAATGTGTCTTTGCTTACCAATTAAAAAAGAAATGTGTTCATGGTCTTCACTGTTTTCTAAATATTGAATTTTTAGAGGAGATATTCAAACCTCATTTTTGTAGGTTTACACTCTAATCTTAAATGAAATGACATTACTAACCCTAACTTTATAAATAAATGATTACTATTTTTCAAATGACCCAAATGCTCTTTCAGATTTTTTCTCTTTATCTCTAATCTTTAATATTTTAGGTCTCTTTTAAGAAGACAAAAAAAAAAAAAAAAAAAAAAAAAAAAAAAAAAAAAAGGTAAAAATTTTAAAAAATTATCTCTTTTGACAAGAAAAAAAAAAAAAAAAAAAAAAAACCCCAAAAAATATCTTTATTGAAGAAATTATCTCTTTTTCTCATGATAAAAAATGGTATGAAAAAAAAGAGAATTAAAAAAATTATTTCTACAAATAAATTATATCTTTTGATAAGACCAAAAAATAAAGAGAATATATATATTGAATATATATATATTTTTTTACTGGACCCATAAAAAATTACCAATAAAAAGGTTACTCTTTTGACCATATATATATATATATAGAAAAATGATATTTTTTTTTAATTATAGAAAAATGATTTAATTGACTACTATAAAACCCCGATAAAAACCACTCACACAAAAATCTAATGTGACTATTCTAAAATTTTAACTCAAACACAATTCTTTTCATAATGTGACTATCCTAAAATCCTTCCAACATTCTTTACATAACCTTATTATCCTAAATTTTCATCTCATAACATAATTCTTTCCATAACTTTTTCTTCCTTTTTTTTTCTTTATTTATTTTTATGTATTTAGAATAATACATAAACAAACTCTTTCCATATATATATATTTCATTTTCACATACTGGGTTTGCATAACTATAAAATGTATTCGAATGCTTTTATAAGAATTTTATAAGAAATTAATTTTTACAAAATCTAAAACAAAATTTTCATTTGAAGTTTTGAATATCAACAAAAATCGATCATTAAAGAATTTAAATTCTTATATTATAAATTTGTTTATTTTTTTTTATCATAGTTATTGTTTTGTTAAATTTTTACTTTCTTTGAAAGTTATTTTTGTTTTTTTTTCTTTTGGGTAAGTAAAGAGAGTTATTTTTGTTAATTTATTTTTGGAGAATTTTTGTTTTGAAAGGGCATTTTATATTTTGATTTTAAATTACTTATTTTTACACTGCCACGTGAAATCGGTGAAATATCGTTTTCCTTTCGACAATATTACTACTATCTATTTTGCTGTTATTTTCATTATTATTAGCATTAATTTGGTAACAATTGTCGTCCATGACAAATTTTTTTTTTTTTTTTTGAATGGTGTCCTCCATGACAATTTACATTCTAAAAACAAGAAAATTAATCAATATAAATATGACAATAAAATGCAAAAATAGTGTTATTTCCCTCTTGCTTCATTAATTTGAGCTCTTGTAGTATCTTTAAAAGCTATCAACGCATGAAATTTAGTTATGCTTGTAAAAGAGGTTATTCTGGTCAAAGTAGAGATTGTCAAATTTCATGCACCACTCCACTAATAAAAAGAGGTATTTTTGGTCTTATTTTATTTATTTATCGTAAGAGAGGTTATTCTGGTCAAATGGTCAAAGAAGAGATTGTCAAATTTCAAGCAACATTCCACTAATACAAAAGTAAATACATATTTTTTAAGTATTGGATCCAAATGCGAGCATTTGCATAAATATCAACGTCACTAGATGCTCATTTCACTTGCACATATATTAAAGGCAAAAATAAAGAAAAAATTGCTTGTTTATGCTCATTTTTATCATTACACAAAATAATAATTCTTAAATTTCAAGCTTCCATTGGAAGATTCATATATTTAACATAATTATAAGAAAAAATATTAATATATTTAATATAATTATAAGAAAAAAGAACTTCAAGATAATTTAATGACAAAACTCTCACTTCTTTTTTCGTAGATCAAAATTTCAAAAAAAAACAAAATCATGGTTTGTGTAAGATGGGAAAACTGAAAACTGTATGTGAATCCTATGAGGTCCGAATTAAGTTACATAAAGCGAGAGAGGGAGGCGAGAATGAGAGCGACAAAATTAAGTCATAAATAGTTAAAATTTGAGCAAGAGCGTGTTCGGAGTGTGAAAACAATATCTCTTAAAAAAGATTGTATAACTTAAGATCCGAAATTATGTGTGACTTAAGAGCCGAAATTACTATCATCAGAAGAATATATATATATATATATTTGAACAACATATATTTTTTTTACATATGTGTTTTGAACATTTAATATTTAGTACACGGGATAGTAACCCATAGTAACATGAGACAGTAAGTCAATTTACCACTTTAGCCTTTGCACACATGGTAACGTATAAGTTGTGGTGTGTTTGGTAGGTAGTATATGATTTTGACGTGACAAAACATGAAAACGTGTTGAATATTCTTACAATTTTCTCCACCTTTTTACATAGAAAATCTGAACGCAGCTCTTGCGCGGGTCTATATATGCAAGTTTGTTTGGCCTTTGGACCTCATACGCATCAGATCTGTGACTCCAGATCTGTACTTTCTCTCTCTCTCTCTCTCTCCTATCTCACATCTCTCTCCACTCTTTCGAAAGCTAACGATCATAGCAAGGTAATTCTATTCTTCCATCACACACACACACACACACACACACACACACATATACATATGCATATAGATACACATTTATGCACATGTTGTGTTTGTTTTTGGGTTGATTTCCAAATTGAATGAATGGGTTAAAGGAAGACATTTTTATCTGATTATAATTCATGTACCATGTTTGTATTTATTGGGGCATAATGTTTATGCATGTATTGTGTATGTTGTGTGAATCTTGTAATGCACAGATCCGGTGTTGTTCTTGTCATTTCTTTAGATCTGATTGCTAAGTGTTGTATTTGGTGATCTGGGTTTCAATTTTTTTTTTATTTTTTTTGCTTGCAAATTTTTTTATTAGTGATTGTTGGGGTGTCGATGTTTGAATTTGAAGTGTTTAATCAAGCAGTACTTGGAATGTGATATGGAAATTCATTTACTTAAGCAAAACAATTGGGTAAAGTCTAGATCTGTGAGTTATTAACGAAGGCTTGACATTGCAATTATAGATCTGAGTTTTTTTCTCTCTCTGCAATTGTGATTGTTATTATTCAGAAGATTATTTTTTATTGCCTCTATATTTACTTTGAGATTCAATTCAAGTTATATGCTTTATAAACCCTTGCATTGGATTTGGAAGCATGCAATGGGAACCTTGGAATTATAATTGGAGAAAAATATATTCAAAATTATTGTCGGTGCGGCGTCACTGTGGGTCCGGGTGGCCCGGGGAAGCTTTGATGTACGCAGCATTACTTCCATATGCGGAGAGGCTACATCACATAGCTTGTATAAATGATGGGAAGCATGTGAAAAATAGTTCTCTTATATAATTACGTTAATTAACGGCCATGGGCCACCTTAGGTAGATTATTTTTACAATTTATTTGCAGATCAGAATCATTTTGCTTTGAATATCTGTTACCCCAACCTTGGAATTATAATTGGAGAAAAATATATTCAAAATTATTGACGGCGCTCCCGCCACTGCGGGTCCAGGGAAGCTTTGATGTACGCAGCATTACTTCCATATGCGGAGAGGCTACATCACATAGCTTGTATAAATGATGGGAAGCATGTGAAAAACAGTTCTCTTATATAATTACGTTGATTAACTGCCATGGGCCACCTTAGGTAGATTATTTTTACAATTTATTTGCAGATCAGAATCATTTTGCTTTGAATATCTGTTACCCATGATTGACCAAACACACTAGTAGTCACAGACTTGTTAGATCCTGCAAGTGTTTAACTAGGGTAGTACACCCATGAACACCGGCATGACCAAGCCTAATGCAATAGACTTCTAGCCTTTTACAATTAATAAGATCACGATTAAAATTTCTAAAAATGAACAAATTGTATTCGAGACTCGAGGGTTTGAGGAGCTCTCGTTATATCTTTCGTAATGAGGTTAATTATGAGAAAGGCTGCCAGATCCTGCATGATTGGTTGAATATTTGGTTTGCCGGATTGCTAATTTGCTACACGAACTTTATCTTAAAAATGAAGATCTCTTGACTTGGCATTGCCCTTTTGATATGTTTTTGTTTCAGGCTATCAAGAACAGGTAAAAATGGTGAAGATCTGTTGCATTGGAGCCGGCTATGTTGGAGGCCCTACCATGGCCGTGATAGCACTGAAGTGCCCCTCAATAGAGGTGGCCGTTGTTGATATATCTACATCACGGATCGCTGCTTGGAATAGTGAGCAACTCCCCATCTACGAGCCAGGCCTTGATGATGTGGTAAAGAAGTGCAGAGGGAAGAACCTTTTCTTCAGTACTGATGTTGAAAAACATGTTTTCGAGGCAGACATCGTCTTTGTTTCAGTTAACACTCCTACAAAAACTCAAGGCCTTGGAGCCGGCAAAGCTGCTGATCTGACCTATTGGGAGAGTGCTGCTCGTATGATAGCTGATGTATCAAAATCCAATAAAATTGTTGTTGAAAAATCAACAGTCCCTGTGAAAACAGCTGAGGCAATAGAAAAAATTCTGACCCACAACAGCAAAGGTATCGACTTCCAGATTCTCTCTAACCCGGAATTCCTTGCTGAGGGAACTGCAATAAGTGACCTTTTCAATCCTGACCGCGTTCTCATCGGAGGTAGGGAGACCCCAGAGGGCCAGAAGGCAATCAAAGCACTCAAAGATGTCTATTCCCACTGGGTTCCTGAAGAACGGATCATTTGCTCTAATCTGTGGTCTGCTGAGCTTTCCAAGCTTGCAGCTAATGCTTTCTTGGCACAGAGGATCTCTTCAGTGAATGCCATGTCAGCACTCTGCGAGGCAACCGGTGCAGATGTCTCCCAAGTGTCACATGCTGTGGGTATGGACACGAGAATTGGACCCAAATTCCTCAATGCAAGTGTGGGTTTTGGGGGTTCTTGCTTCCAGAAGGACATCTTAAACTTGGTCTACATTTGCGAATGCAATGGCCTCCCCGAGGTTGCGAACTACTGGAAACAGGTCATTAAGATCAATGACTACCAAAAGAACCGCTTTGTGAACAGGGTGGTTTCCTCAATGTTCAACACTGTTTCAGGTAAGAAGGTTGCTATTCTAGGATTTGCTTTCAAGAAGGATACTGGTGATACAAGAGAGACCCCGGCCATTGACGTGTGCAAAGGACTATTGGGGGACAAAGCCCAGTTGAGCATATACGATCCACAGGTTACTGAAGACCAGATTCAGAGGGATCTTTCAATGAAGAAGTTCGACTGGGACCATCCAATTCATCTTCAGCCAATGAGTCCTACTACTGTCAAGCAAGTCAGTGTGGTTTGGGATGCTTACAATGCGACAAAGGATGCTCATGCCCTTTGCATTTTGACCGAGTGGGATGAGTTCAAATCACTCGATTTCCAGAAGATCTATGACAATATGCAGAAGCCCGCGTTTGTTTTTGATGGCCGGAATATTGTGGATGCGGAGAAGCTGAGAGGAATCGGGTTTATTGTTTACACCATTGGTAAGCCATTGGATGCTTGGCTTAAGGACATGCCTGCCGTGGCTTAAAGAATGATTATCGTTATCGGCTTTTTGTGGGTGGCTCAGGGTAGAATTACAAGTATAAGAGGATGGAGAATTTACTTACTATACAGTGTTATTACTCTTTTGTTTCTGTTAGACTTGGTACTATGTTGTCTAAGAGTAACTAGACTTGGTACTATGTTGTCTAAGAGTAACTAAGTGTCCGAATTGTTGTCTGTAGTTAGTGAAAAATATGAATTTTGTTCTTTGGTGGTTTATTGTAATAAATCAGCACCCAGCAAATACAAATATTTTCTAAATATATCTATCTCCTTTTGCAGTGATATTATTTATTTTTTGAAAATTCAAGCTCAGAACTGTGATAATTTTTCTGACTTTGTTGGTTTGGTTTATGAGTTGACTCCAGATGATTTTAGTAACACCAATTGTGGAATAACTTTGGAATCCAGAAACTTGAGTAATAGTGTAATACTATAATGTATGTATTTATGTCTTCTACTATTTTGTTAATGCAACACAACAACGTTACAAAATGCAACGCATTTATAACGGAATTCAATACATTTATGTGAAATATTTACATCACGTTATAATATTATTAAATTCAAAATTTAATACATTATAATGTTATAATACCTTTAAATTCAGAATTTAACACATGATTAAAGTATTCAGAATTTAACACATGATTAAAGTTGCTAGGGTCAAAGTTGTTAGTGTCAATATAAAGATGAAAATGATATGGAAGAGGATGTGGTTGAATTTAAAATTCATTTTTTTTACAATAAAAACATTAGAACTAAACTTTTAACTAGTCAAGTTCATAATTTACATGTTCTATATTTAGGAAAAAAAAAAAATTTACATGTACACTAATTATTTCTTTTCAAAGAAATAAAATCTTCAACCTTCCACTAGCTAAAATTACAAAACTTCTTGGAATTTTTTATAATTGAGGCAATAAAATTGAACTAGTTGTGTCCAACAAAATTATATAATAATATATATATAGGGAGGCAATATTCGCACTCCACTTTTTAACGTTTGCACTACAATCTTAAATGAAATGATAATTATAACCCTAACTTTATAAGTAAATAATTATTATTTTAGGTCTCTTTTGACAAGACAAAAAATAAATTGAATATTTTTTTTTTTTACGGGACTAAAAAATAAAAATTTATGTTGAATAAATTGACTCTTTTGACCAGACTAAAAAAATAAAAAGTAACCATTAAAAATATTCTCTCTTTTGACATGAAAAAAAAAACCCTGAAAAAAAAATATTTATTGAATAAATTATATTTTTTGTCAACATCTCCAAAAGACAAGAAAAAAAAGTATGAAAAGAAGAGGATTATATATATATATATATATATATATATATTTATCTAAATTGAATAAATTATCTATTTTGATAAGAACAAAAAAAAAAAAGAAGTTAATTTTTATCTAATAAATTATTTCTTTTGACAGGACCCATAAAAATTATATATATATATATATATAAAGTTAACCTTGTTGAATAATATAGTCAATTGTACAAAAAAAGTTAACTTTGTTGAATAATATCCCTTTCAATTGTACAATAATAATAATAATAATAATAATAATAATAATAAGTCGTTATGGAATAAATTATTTCTTTTGACGGTCAAAAATTAAATTATAAGTATGGAATAAATTATTTTCTTTGATTGGACATATGGAAAAAACAAATAGAAAGGAAAAAAAAAATAGTAAATAAAGTAAAGAAGGTAAAAAAAATATTAAAGTTGTATAAATGGTAGTTACGACATTACAAATTAAGGGATAGTGCATCAATGAATTTAAGGACCTTCTTGTCATTTTCTTTAAAAGAAAAAAGGTAAATGTAGTGCAATTGGAGAAAAGTGGAGTGTCAATATTGTCTCATATATATATATATATATATATACAGGAAGGCTCTCATGTGGTCCAAAACAACGGACTTTTCAACGGATCAAAACTTAATTAGTCAATTACACTTTATTACCTTAGCAGACTTAAACCATAGTTAATAATGTTAAGTTCAATAGTCAATTTACCATAGTTAGTCAATACCTTTATTCAATTTCTCTCTTCCTTAATCTCTTTCATATTCCTCGCAATTGCAACCACTACCACGATATCCACATCATCACAGCCACCATCTTCACCACTACAGCCAAAACACAACTACCATATTTATTCTCCAACATATGAGACTTAAAAAACAAAAAATATATAAATTTGAAAATTATTATAAATTAAGAATATTATTTTTCTACATATAAAATAAATACGTGATTTTATAATGTCTAAAAGTCTTTGTGATGTTATATTGTAATTATAAAATTAATGGGAGGGTAAAGTAAAGCTTTTGATTGTTAAAAAAAAAAAAACGCAAAAATTGAACAGGTTCCATACTATTTGAGTCTCATGATTATGTTTCCCGTGTGCAGCCTTGTTGTGGGGTAAACAAAAGAAATGGGATGAAGAATGGCTCTTATTAAATATATATTCAGATCCATAACACATTGTTGCCTCTACTCTATATATTTCCTTTCCTTCCTTTTCCTGGTCTAGAAAATAGCAGATGCCGTAAAAATCGATTCATGTATCGATATCAAAACTATAAAAAACGTGTTGAATTGGCGACTAATCTGACCTATGTTATAGAATAAATTGACCATTAAAGTTAACATTATTAACTATGGTTAAGTTTGATAAAGTAATAAAGTGTAATGGATTAATTGAGTTTTGGTATGTTAAAAAGTCCGTTATTTTGGACCGCATGAGAGCCTTCCTGTATATATATATTTAACTAATTAAAAAAATAGCATAGAGACATCTTTTTTTATATTTTCTTTATATATATATATATATATAGAATCTTTAACCATGGATTGACTAAAATCACAAAACTTCTTTGAAGTTCTTATTTTGAGCCATTAAAATTGAACTAGTTGTGTCCAATAAAATTATATTATATATAATTTGGTGGTCAACCAGCAAATCATGCTTGCAAACTTATGCTTCCGCATCCCAACCTTTTGTCTCAATTGGTAATCAGTTGCCCAATTAGCTTCCAAGACATATCAACAGCAGTGCCAGCAGTAGTGCGTCACCTGCCACGTTAGTTGCCATGTCAGACACAGTCAGCAGCGGTGCCAGCAGTAGTGCCACATCAACTGCCACATCAGTTGTTAATCGTGCCTCCATCTTTATCATGGGTGAAAACCCATCTTCACCAAATCGCTTCCGCCATGCCGCTTTCAAGATCTTATTTCTAATGGTTTCATTCAAAACACCTTGATTTTGAGGGGGCTGTTAGAATATATTGTAGAATATATTATTACTATATTGTAGAATATATTCTAACCTTATATAGGATTACCATATATAGGATTCTAACCTTGTATAGGATTACCATATATATAGTTATCCTATATAAGGTTAGAATATATTATACAATATAGTAATAATATATATTCTACAATATATTCTAACAGCCCTCCTCAAACTCAAGATGGTTTCATTTAATCTACCTTGGTTTTGAGGGGGCTGTTAGAATATATTACAGAATATATTATTATTATATTGTTGTTCGCGCGATTTTTTACGTCGGTTGATGAACTCTTGTGGGCGTGCCAGAGTATTTGTATAAAACACTCAAAATTATGAATTGAACACCAACCTATCATTTTTTTCGATGGCTGACTTCAGACGAATGTGTGAGAGAGAGAATAGTAAAAACTCCCAGCAAGGTTCTTTTATGCCTTGATGCAAGGACTTTTAATCTAGGTGCTAAAAGAAATAAAAATGCAATGACTGAAGAAAATTGGAATGAACAAGCTGAATGAAAATTGACTTTAAAGAAAGACAGTTGAATGAAAATGGATAATAAGAATTTAATCGATTGCCATTTAATAGAAAACAATTTGAATTAAAATGTGCATAATTTAAATGAAGTAAAGTAAAGCAAAATGCAGTGGCAAGAATTTAATCAATTGCCAGTAAAAGGAATGACAAGAATTTAATCAATTGCCATTGAATTGAAAACATTTTGAATTAAAATAGCATAATTGGCAGAATGGAAATTGACTGAAAAGAAATGAAGTAAAGCAAAATGCAGAGGCAAAAATTTAATCAATTGCCATTGAATTGAAAACATTTTCAATTAAAATAGCATAATTAAAACTTGTAGAATGGAAATTGCATGGAAAGTAAAGAAATAAAATAAACTGGCTGAATTGACATAACACAAATCTGATCAAAGATTGGTCATTGAATCTGTTTGCATGAAAGAAATGACTGATAATGTAAATAGCATAATTAAAACATTGCAAAAGAAGAGTAAGTTACGGGAACTTAAATTCTTTGAATGAAAATTACCATAAAGAAATTGATAAAATGACGTAGAGTCAATTGAATAAGAAGTGCATGTTTTGTGGGTGGTGCTGGACGAATTGGAATGAAATTACAACACTTCTATATAAAAGTCTTAAATTAACTTATTCCCTAATTAATTGCTCTGAAAATTCTCTTTTCCTTCATTTTATTCACTTTGTTATTCAAACTAGGTCAAAACCCAGTGCTCTTTTATTTCCTTTCTTGCCTTGCTTCATCTTGCTTCAATAGGAAATCATTGCTGAAAACTCTCCTTGATTTAATCAAATACAAGTTGCCAAATCGTTGCTGGAAAGTTTGCTAAAAAGTTGCTAATTTTTAGCAACTCCTTTCCTTAAGCTCGGCTGAGGTACTTCGTAAATGCATGACTCATGTGACTGCCCTTCTTTGTTGGAATTCTTTCTCCAATTAAATCCTTATTTCATTGGGATTTCTTTTTAGCCGAATTTCTAGTGTTTCTTTTCCAATCAATAACCAAATTTGAATTTATTCAAATCCCTTTGCAATATATATTCAGCAACAACCTTATTGATATGGTGGCTGAAATATATTTCCCTAAATTTTCTCCTTTTGTCTCTCTATTGGCCGTCTTTCCTTAAAACCAAACCGAACACGTGTCGGCTCCTCACTGGTCCACGTCACCACTGAGGTGGCTACCAAGTTTTGGTACCAACAAATGCCCCCTGAATTTCAAATGCTTTTATCACTTATGATAAAAAGCTTTTGGAATTTGAATCGGCCAAAACTTGAATTTCAAATATTGGTCATAAATCCTTACTCCACCCAACTACCTGCCTTAATGGTTATCAGTTCCCATTTAAAGTGGTGATTAGATATATCCCGTTATTACATCCAACTAGTATTTAGCTCCGTGTTTTCTAAAACCCTAAAATCATTCTTCTTTCCTTAAATT